GGGGATCTCGTAGTCGAGCAGTCTCGACTAGAGCTTTCTTTCTTGTTTACAATGTTATTCGCACTTCTATAAATAGTTGGGGCTCCTGCTGAGCGCGAGAGAGAGAGAGAGAGAGAGAGAGAGCGATGCAGAGCGCTTGATTGATTTGTTCGCATGCTGGCTCGCATTTGTTAGCGCCAAATGTTTCTCTTTCTAATTTTGGCAGCCAATTGCGCCAATTGGGCGGCAAGCGCGTCGCAAATGTATTCGAATTGCAACAAATTGATTTATGACGAAAATAAGAGCCACAAAATGAAGAGAACAAAACAAAAACCTGATCAGAAGCGAACAACAATGCGGATACGCAGCCGATGGCCGACCGACCGACCTACCGAGGGATTGGGCATTGGTATATAAATTTGTATATAAAAACATTTGCATATACTATACATAAATATATATATTTCTGTGCATTTGCATGCGGGGCGCTCATGATAGGGAAACGAGGAAAAGCAAAACAAATTTTGACGAGACGCGGCTTGTCACGTTGATGACAGGCAAATATAAGAAGAGAAAATACAAATTTAAATATGCACAAAAGTTTGATTACATGAAACTTGGCGCCTATTTTGAGCACGAGCCAAATATTTGCCCATTGTTATAAATTTCTTGACGAATCTCATTTGACGGCGACAGACATTAACAAATAAATCAGCTACAATTAGGGAGAATTAAAAATGCAAATAAATATATACAAAATTTGCAAAATTAACTTTCAGCTGCAAATATATTTCTTTATAAATTGTTAAAAATTCAAACGGAATGTTTAACACAAAAAAGTTGTATTTGAATATTCGCTATTCTTAGACGGATGGAAAATTGGGTCAAACATTTGGCAGGCCGAGCATAAAAGCGAGATAGCATGAGACACCAAAAAGAGACAGAGTATCTGTGGACGAGTGAACTCTGCTTTATTTATATATACACACACACAAACACACACTCACACTCATACATATATATTTTTAAATGGCATTTTAATTGATTCTGAGTGTATTGGCAGAAAAATCGAATTACATGCAAAAAAAATAAAAATAAAAAACAATTTGCTCTCGCATTGGGCCACTGGGCTGCTCTGTCCGCAAAATGAGATCACGAGTCGGCGTTGCTCAACTCATTCAATTTGCAGCATCCTGCCAGGACTCTGCACTCCTGTCACATTTACTCTCTTGGCCTCTCTGTGTGTCCTGGGTCCTGGCAAAACTGCTGACATCATTTGCACAGCGTGCCGAGTGCTCTATAAAAGTATCTTTTGCTTCAATTTCCGCTTGTTGGCTTACACGATGACGTTATTATATGTATGTACATGCAACTACAGCTGGATACAATTTATGCCGCCTGCACACACAGCCAGAGCCTGTTCCAGTTACCAACTGCGATTGGGGTTAGGCAAAGGGGTTTGTTTTCAGCAAAACTTAATAACAATTTGCATACATTTACAAGACTTGAATGAATACGAACGTGGGCTAGCCACAAGTCGTACCCGTACCCGTACCCGCACCCGCACCCCTACCGTACTTACTTGACTCAGTCTCTCAGTCGAAGGCGTTATCTTGTAGATTGCTCATAAGTACTTGCAGCATTAACTGTAAAAGATACAAAATGTTCAAACGTAAATTAGTCGAGTAAATATATATAAATAATGCTTATAAATCTTAGTTCATAACTCTCATTGACATTTCAATGTGAAGGCCAATCAAAGACATATATATGTATGTATATATGTATACAAATGTACATGACACTATCCATTATCAGACGTGGCACAGACACAAGGCGAGAAGAAACAAAATTCAATTGTTTGCGGTCTTTTTTGGCTATCATTCCATTCAGGTTTTCGGGCCGTTGCGTGGGTCGCCAGACAAAGAATAATAATGCAAATCTTGTCTTCCAGCCACTCTGTACATGAAAATAATTGTTTATGTGGGCTGTTGATTGAGAGGTTTCGCATTCATATCAACTATAGCTAATCGCTTAATGTTGAACTCGTTGAGAAATATGAGAAATAAAAATCACACATTTACACGCTTGGGCATTGGAGCATATTTGGTAGTTTTCATCGTACACCTGAGCAGGTGTGATAGACATTCCGAGACAGCTGAACTTAATTGCGCTGCCTTCCAATTGGAATTCGATTAGAGCGAAAACTTTACACGCATCTGCAGCTGCCTAACTCTGGCCTATTGTCAACGAGGTTTTATGCTATTTCTTCTACTTTTTCTAATCTACAACTGGGCAAACGACTTCCTAATACCCGTTCACTGTCCCAAAATGCCTAGGAACATTGCAGCTCTATACTTACTTCTATATATTTCTTTTCTCACTTTGTATACATCAAATAGAGGTAAAGAAAGAAATATACCTAATCACTGATATATAGTCTATTGCTCTTAACCAATACAATCGTTTTATTTCTTGAAAGTGCATAAAAATCGCAAACGCTAACATGCAGGCATCGAGCATAAAGCGCATTGTACCTACCACAACAAAACAACATAGCTAAAAAGAAAAAAGATTTTTCCAAGCCGTTGCCGGCACGAATATGGCATTAAAGTCAGCTAAGACGACGCGCAGACGTAAGGCGATGGATAAGACCAACAACAGTCAACAGTCATCGACAGCAGCACCAGCAACTGGCGTTCAAAAAGGTGCATAACGTAGCAAGTTGGCCCGTAAAATAATTCAAGCCTAGGCGCAAATTCACGTGGCCAAACATCAACAGTAAAACAATGAAAACTACCGTAAGTAAAAAGTGCATAAATAGAAATTCGTTAACTAAATACTCTAACTATAACTATAATATAATATATTAATTATATTTATAATATATATTATTAATTATATTTATAATTAGCTCGAGTTTTAACTTATAAACCTAAACTTTAAATATGGAATAACTGTAAGAATTAATAACAGTGGAATATAGATTGAAAATATATGGATATTGTATAATATATACATGTATGTTTATATAGGCGACAGATAGGAACTACACATCAAATTTTAAATCGTGATAAATTATTTCATAGATATGACGACAGATAGGCGTCAAAGTATTTACGAAATTCCGTAGATTAGAATAGTTTAGCAAATAACAGGGAGAAGTAGGAATTAATAAGGAAAATGTATATACTTTGTGAGCTGGGCCGCGCCTCTTTCTCCCTGTTATATGCCTTTAAACAAAACTATCTAACTAAATTAACGGAATTTCGTAAATACTTTGAACTCGACCAGATTAAATAATAAACTAAGCCAAATCAGAATCAGAACCAGAAACCCGAATATGGTTAACACATCAAATTAAAGACAGTTATACACAAGTCAAGAAATAGCTCAAAGAGAAAGTGCTACTCCAAATCCTCTTCAATTTCTTAAAAATCTTTAATTGTCATCAACATGACAGAGCTGTTTCGGTTTGAGATTCTGATTCGAAGTGTCAAAACGTCAAAGCAAAAGTCATTATTGGATTTTGAGTAGCTTAATTAATCTGATGGTTTCTAATGACATCTTTTAGTTGAAATAACATTTACAATATTTCCAGGAATTGCTATGCAAAATATTTATTTTTAATTTACAGACTTAACTGAAGCTTTTATACATGCGCAAAAGTAATTAGTTTTCTTTTGGCAATGTGACTCCCCACCCCATCCATAAGCAGTTTCTGGTCATCTAACGGATCTAATTAGTTCTATGTATGTATTCTGCTGCGCATGTCACAAGCTTAATGACAAGCCCAATGGCATCCTGTGCTCATAGTGTAGACAATAATAATAACAATGGAATTAACATGAGAGTCTGTGTATGTGAGTGGATTTCGTTCCCCCTCCATCTTGGGCATTTTTGGCAGTTTTGGCTGCCGTTGCCAATGAATGAAATTAAATGTTTTGCCCCTTCGGGCCAGAGACAACGAGGAGACACACACAGAGATACGGCACAGAAAAAAACGAAAAAATAAAAATGAATAGTCTGGCCCAATGCACAGCAAAGCCGGGCTAAGTCTTTTGGGCAATGGAGCCAGCCAGCCAAACACAACAACAACGACAATAACTCGTTTGTTGCCGCGTCAAGTTGCCAAAGTTGGCCAAGTGTGCAATGTGCAAGTGTTCAGTTGTTGTTATAGCCACTGCTGCAACAACAGCAACAACAACAACAACAAACACAAGTGCAGCCAGTGAAATATGATGGCAAGCTGCGTGCGCGGCAAAGCAGGCAGAAATTGCTGGGACGCCTTAAGGAAAACTTGAAGCTGGCGAATAACTGCCTCCCCATGGATGGACAACGGGACAACGTGGCGACGTCGACGCCGACGTCGGCGCTTTCACTTGCGCCGGCGACTTTTCCAGCATAGCGAAACGTGTTTGCTTTGCTCTTTGAGCTTGCGCCTTACTTATTGTTATTATTGCTTGCAGCTGTTGCTGCCGCCGTTACTGCTGCCGCTGTTGCTGCTGCTGTTGTTGTTGTTGTTTTGTCCCAATAAACAGCAACAGCGACAAATTGAATTCTATACATTAAACGTATACTGACCTGGCCACACCCAACAAAAAAAAAGCACAAAAATATTCGAGCCAAGCAACAATTTACATTTCTTTTTTATTAACAATATAGATTTTTTTTCTGTCACGCTTAATTTATTGTTGTCAAATGGAGAGGCAAAAAGTTTGTGTATTTATGCAAATATTTGCATAAATAATTATGCGCTCTGATGATATAATATTAGTTGGAGCTGAGTGTTGTATTTGTTGCTGAGGTGAAGGTGCCAAAAGTCTAAATTGAAATATCGTTAGCTCTTTTTGTATTCTTCTTCTTCTTTTTTCTTTCTTCTTTATATGTATACTCAATATAGTATTCAGCACCTGTCCTATACTATATATATAGAAAAGTTGCTATCTTTGGCCTATCTTATGCGAATACGAGCTTTACATCTAGATGAGTAATGCTCATATTTCAGAGAGCTTTGCATAATTCTTTGGCAGATTTACAAGCTAGCTTAGCCTAAAATGAATGCTCTTAGCCAGTCTTCAACTGGAAATGGACTAAGGAAACTACTTACACAGATGGCTCGAAAATTAAGATAAGATCAAGCTGTTGTTTTGCTAAATGCTGCTCGGTATGGGCATGCTGGTAAACAAGCCAGATATATCAATGAAAACGCCAAAGATGCACACAAATTGTGGCTAGCGTCCATTTAAGGCCGCTGTCATAACCTTAGACCTCAGCCAGGGGCAATGGCAAGTGTGACCTTAGACACCATTTGATGATACAGATACAAAAACAGATAGAGATGGAGATACGAACGAGTAGTCAAAGCAACAAGCGTAATATAGCCAAAAGCAGTAAAATGTTCGTAAGTAGTTTAGGGCTTTAAATAACATTATTTAATATGAGATAGAGACTAAGAGAGAAAGAGAGAGAGAGAGAGAGAGAGAGAGAGAGAGAGAGAGAGAGAGAGAGAGGGAGAGATAGTGAAAGAGAGAGAGAGAGAGAGAGAGAGAGAGAGAGCGAGAGCGAGAAAGTGAAAAAGCTAGAGAGGGTGAGTGAGGGTGAGTGAGAGACGGAGGAGAGAGAGACAGAAAGACCTAAGAAAGAAAGAGGGCGAGTGAGAGTGAGAGAGAGACAGAAATATAGGGAGATATACAGATCGAAAGAGAATGAAAAAGAGAGTGGTGGAGAAAGAGAGTGAAATCTATAGATAAAATGACAGATGAGGAGAGGAAAGAAAATGTGAAGTAAGAGAAGAGAACAAAGAGGGAAAGCGTTTACACTACAGTCGTAAGACTGTTGTTTAAGCTTTTTAGTTCCGGTAATAATATATATAATAGGGAATCACTGCTCAAGATTTAGACTCGAAGAATCAGAGCTTCGAATTCTTACACTGCTGTAGCTTTTCGAGATCTAATATCCTGCCCCAAAGTCTATCTGCTGTAAGCAATCAATTCTTATCTACTGATTTATAAGTTCATTTAATATAGCGCACTTCGCGAATTTATGATTGTGAGCACATAGGAAGTAATCAAGAGAAAATCTAAAAATAAATGTGATTTTATGGTTATAAATGTCAAACTAACCACTAAAAATTCAAGATAATGAGCAATGAGTAAATGATGTTATATTAGTAGTTAAACAGGAATTAACTGTTGAAAATAAACTAAAAGTTTTTCCGCCACAAACATATTTCGACTTCTTGTAAGCGTTATGTAAGCCTTATCGGCAAATGTGTTTTTAAACGTGCGGGTTGCGCGGCCGTTAAATATCTATTATATCAAGCGAGCCACAATAGCATTGACCTCGCTGTGAGCGGCTCCTGCTTAATCAGCATCAACATCAACGACATTTCAGCGCAGATACGCCTAGGCATGCAACAATGTGTGAATGAGAGAGTGTGCGTGTATGTATGTGTGTGTATGTGTGTGTGTTGGACGTTTATTATACAAAGTGCACTCTGCGCTGTCATAATTAACATCTAAGCAACGATAAATGCAATTAGCGCTGCCAGCAGTCATTGACGTTACGTCCCAGACCCAACCCCAGCCCCAGCCTCAGTCTCAGCCTCGGCCATAGGCAGCGCCAGCCACCTCGCCCTGATTGC